GCGAGTCGCTCAGTAAACTGCAAAAAGCAAGTGCTGGCGGCGAAACATTTTGGTAGCAGAGCGTGGTTTATTTTCGTGTCAACGGAGGACCCGGTGAGCGTTGTGTGCAGGCATTGGTAACATTATCGTAGGACGGGGTGTAGTAGATAGTAAATACCCAATTAGTGTTTCAGTCCCGAGCATTATAGTAGACCGCTGGTGCGATTGCCCCGATATCAAGCCTTATCGGTATTGCCTTTATACATGCGCGTTATTTTATTACACTAAAGTAGTGTGTTACTATTTATTTCGTTTATCATGGTGAACGATGAGCAGCAGCGGGTAGAGCGGTTGACGCGATCAAAAGTGTTCGCCGATGCAAAGCGAAGTTCCGCGATATCAGCAATTAGGGCGATACATGCGTTATCTTTACGTGCGCTTAACGAGCCTGACATAGTGACCGAATTTTTAATAGCAGCCAATGATTTAGAAGGTCACTGGGCTCAATTTAAGTTGGAAGACGCTTCTGTTTTAGAGCATTTAATTAATCTCGATATGCCGGATGATTATTCGGTGGACTTGCCGGCCGAAGTGCGAGGTCTGATTAATGCATCGCGTTCGGTTGTAGAAAAGTTGACCCCGAAAGGCGCCGCGGTAATTGATTTATCGTACCTTAAAGGTCAGTTAGCACCGTCTGTCACCCCGAATGACCAGTTAGTTCCGGCAACACAATATTCACGACTTCCAGATATTCCGTTGCCCCAATTTGACGGAGATTATCGTTATTGGCCTACTTTCTATGATGCTTTTGAGTCTTTGGTTAACAGTCGGCCCAATATATGTGATATCGATAAACTATATTATTTAAAGGGTTGTCTTAAAGGCCGTGCGGCAGATGCTGTGAGAGATATACCGCTGTCTGCGGATAATTATGCATTGGTGCGGTCTACGTTATCGGAGCGATTTCATCGTCCACGTCTAGTGGCTATGTCTTTGGTAGACAAATTGTTAGGCGCTTCGCCCGTTAAACAGGAGTCTCTTTCCGAACTTAATAGTTTCATGTGTTCATTTAGTGAAAGTTTGTCTCTCCTCAACGCGTTAAAAGTTCCAGATCTACGTTCTTTCATTTTATTTTCGGTTGCTTTTCGTTGTTTGCCGGTGTCGACGCGCAATTTGTTCGAAACGAGTACAACATCTGACTACCCGACAATTGACGAGCTCATGAAGTTTTTGCGAAACCGCGTAGCCGTATTGGAAGTTGTAGGTGAACATCGCGACCAACGCGCCGTCATCGCGCATCCAAATTCGACGTCACAACAGGGCCACCTCAAGAAAGATACAAATCGATCAGGGAAGCCGAGGTTTTCTTCCCACCCCACCGCGTTAGTTGCGACCAAGCCGTCGAGTTCGACGACTAATAGTTGTCCGTGTTGTTCTGGTGCGCATGGTTTAGGGGTATGCGCTAGATTTAAAACGTGGGCTGTTGACGAGCGCTCTCGCTGGACACGGGAGCGTAAATTATGCTTTAATTGCTTTAGCGCAGGTCACTGGGCTCCTAAGTGCACCGCCAAGTCGCGATGTCAAGATTGTTCCCGGAGGCATCACTCCCTCCTTCACCCACCTGCGAATACTACGACCTATAGTAGCGGTGAGGTACCACAGTCGGATGTAGTATTATGCGCGTCTGCACCCGCGCCGCCCGTGTCTACGGCAACTTCGGTATTGTTAGGAACGGCGCTAATCCATGTACGCGATAGGGCGGGTTCTTGGCAAACCTTACGCGCGTTAATTGATTGCGCGTCGCAAATTAGTGTAATAACTACCAAATGCGCCGATCGGTTAGGACTTCGGCGCGATCGATGGACTACACCTGTAACAGGTCTGTCTGGCGTTTCAATTATGGATGTCCAGGGCCGTGTCGATTGCGTAATACAACCGCGATACTCAAACGAACCCGTGTTATCAGTGCAGGCGTGGGTGCTGCCATCAATCACTAATGATCTCCCTAGGAATATTTTACCTATAGGCATAAAAGATCGATTTTCGAATTTAGCGTTGGCCGACCCGTCGTTCCACATTACAGCTCCGGTCGATCTATTATTGGGGGGTGACGTGTATGCCACAATAATGGACGGGCGCAAAATCACGGTTGACAAAAATCTCCCGGTCGCTTTCAGCTCGGTTTTCGGTTGGATCCTGATGGGACCAATGTCCGAGGGCGAACTAGTACCATTTCATTCATTACCGGTGTCCCTTACTATATCCTTAGAGGGACTCATGCATCGATTCTGGGAAGTCGAAGAGCCTGAGGTTGCCCCGGAGACCTTTACAGATGATGGGCGATGCGAACAAATTTTCCGAGACGGACATGTGCGTTTACCATCGGGTCGTTTTGCTGTGCCATTACCTTTCCGTGCACCCGTGTCAGACAATACATTTGCTCGATCCCGTGAAACAGCAATAAAGCGGTTCGAATCGCTAGAACGCAAATTGAGCACCGATCTTAAGCTCAGGTCGCTGTATAAAGACTTCATGGCCGAATATCTTGCACTAGGTCATATGTCGGTCGCAACAACCCCAGGGCAGTATTATATTCCCCACCATGCTATCTGTAAGAGTGACGGCGCAGATACTAAAATTAGGGTAGTTTTTGACGCGTCTGCGAAAGGTCCCACGGGTATGTCGTTGAATCGCGCGTTGCTTCCCGGACCCAAATTGCAGCGTGACATAGTTGATATCTTAATCCGTTTCCGTTTATTTCGCTACGCATTCACGGCAGACATCTGTAAGATGTACCGTCAAATTTTGATTTTACCGGAGTTCCGCGCTTATCAACACATATTGTGGCGCGACTCCCCTCTCGATCAAGTGCTTGATTATGAACTCAATACTGTGACGTATGGGGTAAACTGCGCACCCTTCCTAGCACTCCGCGTGCTGCGCGCCATAGCTGACATTGATGGTCCGTCGTTTCCACGTGTTCGCGACGCGTTATGTCATCAAACATACGTCGACGACATATGCTACGGGGCAGACACTATTACCGACGCGGTCGCGGTTCAATCGGAATTAAATTCGGTACTGGCGCGGTCAGGTTTCGAATTACGTAAATGGTCAAGTAATACCTCGGCTATATTGCAGGCTGTACCTGCTGACCATTGTGTAGTAAAATCTACGTCATTCGCCGACGACGATAGCGTAGGCACAAAGGTTCTCGGTATACATTGGTATCCGAACGAGGATTATTTTTGTTGTGAACTACGTTTAGAGGTGTCACCAACATACACGAAACGTGGTATCTTGTCATTAACGGCCCAATTTTTCGATCCATTGGGTTTATTTGCCCCTGCGATTTTTTTGGCTAAGCATATTATGCAACGTACATGGCAGGCGGCATGTGAGTGGGACGACCCATTGCCATGTGACATCCACACTGATTGGGCACAATTCGTGATCGAGTTGCCACAGCTTTCAACCGTTCGCGTTCCGAGGTTCTGCAACACCACTCCGGGTACGACATGTTTTCTATACGGCTTTTGCGACGCGTCGTTACGGGGGTACGCGGCTGTAGTTTATTTGCGCGTACTTGACGCACCTCGAGATTCTTCTGTCTTTCTTATCGGTACAAAGACCAAATTAGCTCCAATGAAAGCGTTGACGGTGCCACGGTTAGAGCTTAATGCTGCCTTGTTGCTCATTCGATGGTTGAATCGTGTGAAAATGGCCCTAGGGGATCGCGTTACCATTATAGACACTTTCGCGTGGACGGACTCGTTAGTGGTCCTTTCGTGGTTGACTGTTCCCCACGAAACGTTTAAACAATACGTATCGAACCGCGTGCATCAGATCCAATCCGTTTTACCCAGTTGTCATTGGCGATATGTGTCGACATTCGATAATCCCGCCGACTGTGCGTCACGCGGACTGATGCCGTCAGAATTACCACAATTCACTTTATATTGGCTAGGCCCGAAATTTATCAGAGACCATCCGAACGAATGGGGGAGGGATAAGGATCGTCTACCGTGTTCAGACTTGCCCGAAGTCCAACCCATAAACCTCTTAGTACAATCTAAAGATCCCCCGTCGGAGTGGTTTGCGCGCTTTTCATCGTACGATCAAATGATTCGCGTAGTTGCCAGGATGCGCCGTTTCCTGCCACCAAGTCGTCGCCGTTCTGCCGAGGTGACACCTGTTCTCACGCGCATCGAGCTCGACGATGCGTTACGCGCTATTGTTCTACAGTCACAACAGTTTTTTTTTTGCTGAACTTCACGACGAGTTGCGTAAGAACGCACGGGTGTCTTCGAAGCCGCTAGCTCGGTTATGCCCGTTTATCGATGACCAGGGAGTCATTCGCGTAGGAGGTCGACTACAACATTCTGATTTACCAGTGGAAAGTAAACACCCCATATTATTATCAAAGACCTCATTTTTATCGACGTTAATTTGCCGACACTGGCATAAAGTAACTTGCCATTCTGGGCCATGTGTAATGTCCGCGATGATCCGCCGACAATTTTGGATTGTATCTCTCCGGTCGGTTATTCATACCATATTGACACAATGTACGGTGTGTGTCCGCCTTGACGGTCGTAACCCGCAACCATTGATGGCTGATTTGCCCGCCACGCGCGTACAACAATGTCGAGCCTTTACACGGGTGGGCGTGGATTACGCGGGCCCGTTGTCAATGCGCGAACTGCGGTTGCGCAAATCACGTACGTACAAGGTTTATATTGCGGTGTTTGTGTGTTTTGCCGTCAAGGCTGTTCACTTAGAGCTCGTGACGGATGTGTCCACTGAAGCATTCATGGCTGCCTTTGATAGGTTTGTGGCCAGGCGCGGTATGCCCAGCGAAGTATTTTCAGACTGCGGTACAAATTTCGTGGGCGCAGCGCGACAACTACGTGAGTTGATTAACAGTCCCCCCGCACAATCAATAATTACGTCGGCAGCTATGTCTTGTACTTGGCATTTTAACCCTCCCGCGGCTCCTCATTTTGGCGGGCTTTGGGAGGCAGCAGTACGTTCAGCCAAAAGGTTGCTAACCCGTGTTGTAGGCTCACACGTTCTAACCTACGAAGAATTTAGTACAGTCTTGTGTCGGGTGGAAGCGGTGTTAAATTCACGACCCCTGACTCCATCGTCATCAGATCCGCTTGATCTTGAGTGTTTGACACCTGGGCATTTTCTCGTCGGTCAACCATTGCTCGCTGTGCCTCCTCGGTCACCTGCGTCCCCAGATCGACCTATTGTTAGTCGGTGGAAATTATTAGACCATTGTCATCAGACTTTTTGGCACCGGTGGTCTACAGAGTACCTTCATACTCTCCAAGAACGGGTTAAATGGAGTGATAGTCGTCCCAATGTCAAAGTAGACGATATGGTAGTTCTTCGGGACCCTTCAGCGCCGCCCTTAGACTGGCGACTTGGTCGTGTTACTGGTGTCGAACCGGGGGCCGATGGAGTGGTCCGGGTCGTGCACGTGTTGACGTCCCGTGGCGTGATTACCCGTCCGGTAGTTAAGGTGATAGTGCTTCCTACTGATGGCCAGTAACTCTTAACCGTAATTTTTCCTTTTAGTATCTATCATTACACTCGCACAATAATTGCCCATGGTGGTAGTTTGTGCCCACGCAGTGAACTCCCCAACCTCACCGCCCACCACGCCGAGCTACCTACTCTCTGTTTTAATATTATAAGTGCAATACTACTCGCGAGGTGTTACTCGGACGCAAAAGTCTATAATCTATTATATTTTGTATTTTTTTTTTTTTTTATTATTATTATATATATATATATATTTGATTTAATATGCCGTTTTATATTCGGATTCATGTGTTTTTCCTTTTTTTTGTTAATTATTATGAACCATATGTTCACCTTATGTGATGATTTTTTTTTTTTTTTTCTCTTGCTATCAACGATACCCGCCGTCATGAAGATCGGACTCGACATTAAGATGAGTACCACGGTTCCTGCGCTATCGATTACTTCTTATTCCACGATATGTGAGGCATAGCCTCCCATAGGGGGAGGATGTTTGAACCCGAGCCGGTTTTCGCGCCTGTGACAAGTGCAGTGTGC